GTTATTGAAGTGAAATTGATGCACTGTAGAATGTTCTATCAGATTAGGAATTACTACTACATTTTCACACTGGATTCTCCCACAGAGGACATCAGGGTCCTCACATTTTGCATATGTTCTGTCTACCAATAGCGCAATGACCAAATCACACACACCACTCATCATCATGCATACCCAAATTATAGATTCAACCCAACTTTTCATATGGCTGGTGAGCAAGCTTTATTCTCTAGAGAAAATTGGATTGAGGAGCTTAAACCTACAGTCAGTTCATTAAAATGTTCAAAGGACCACAATTTGAATGGACTTACACCATTCCTATTGAAAAGATACATTTATCTGAAGTAAAAGCTAATTTTGCTCATTCACTCACTTTCAATGAAAGCTGTCAATGATATGCTTAATATTTGAAAGCAAAAGTTAAAACAAATGTGGACTCACATTTGAACACACTGGTAGACTGAATCTTCTCAATAAGAACACAAATAATGGGATCAACAGCATAGCACATGAGAAATAGTCTTAACCGTATGATGTGAAGAATACCTGTATCCATGTGAGGACTTTTCCAGAACCACTGGAGGGCTATTAAATCCCACAAGAGAAAAACTGCAATCAACAGATGAAACGTCTTAGGGAAAGTATCTCTGAAACAGGTGAAATTTCTAATTCCCAGGTTTCCTCTCCATGTCTCTAGTCACATTATCTTTGGTATTTGCCAGTGACTTGGCATTATTAAGATGGAAATGCAAGACAAGTGTTATAAATAGGAAAATAACCTGTATTGAACTTTGTCAGAAAATGTGGTCATAACAGAAAAGTTTATTGCCAAGAATCTTTGAGAAATCCAGTCTTTATCATCCTTACATTGTACCAAAGACAATGTTCCTGAAGGAACATAGTATTATCATTAATTTTATGAACTAGTGTCACTCCAAAGCCCTTCCTTTCTAACATTAATGGCACATCAAGCAGTGTCAGAATCTTCTTCAGCATCAGTCACTATCTCTGCCTTCTATTTCTAACAGCTATCTCAAATTCCTCAAAATCCTATCTTACCATGACTCCACTCACTGTTAGTCATACCCTAATTCAGTGTTGTTGTTTTTTAAGATTTATGCATACAAGAACTGGGGTACAGGCCAGAGGTGCGAGGGGTGAGATGATTCACCAGAGACAGAATGGGGAGTAGAACAGGCAGATTGACTGAAATACACTGCTGCGGGGAGCAGCGGGAGAGACAGGAGATGTCTGCTGCGCCATGTGGGTCAGCTCCCTGGCCAGGGATCGAACTCATGCTGCAGTGGCTGCCAATCTTCATAGTGCTGTGTCTTAATCCCTTGCATCACCAGGGAGGCCCCCTAATTCAGTGTTTGTTAAACTTAGGTCACAAACTATTCAGGATCATGAAATCCATTTAATGGGCCACAACAAAATGAAAGAACACAGTAAATATCAGAGCTTCCTATAGAAGCTGAGCTACTAATGTCAGCACAGAAGCTGCAGTGGCATTCTGCTGATACTTGTTAAGCTAATTATCAACTATTCTCTAGCTAATTATCAACTATTTTCTTAGCTTCAAGTGTATATATTTATACAATGGGTCAACTATTTTCTTAGCTTCAAATGTATATATTTACACAATGGTCTGTCATGCTGGAGCTGAGACTCTGTATGGTGTATGTTTTCATTGCTAGCTGGTTTCCTTTCCCAAGAAGGCCACCAAAGGGAGAATAAAAGGCAAAAGGAGAGACAATGGAGTTGTTACTGTTATAGGGCAAGGAAGAGGGGCAGCCCAAACCCCGCAAACCTGCCTATTCTAAATGGGTTCTGCCATCCGCTGCATCAACACAAAACATATGAGACTTTAATGGGAAGGAACTTTAATAAAACTAGGAAACAATACAGGTAAGGCAAAGAGTCTAGTTCCTAAATCAAGAACCCAAAGTTACCCGTCCCCTCGTGGGTAAAAGTCCATCCAAATGGGATTGGCCCAGAGAAAGGCCCCAAAGCCTGCCACAAGTCTAAAGCACCTTCCAGTGGGGACCCACAGAAAAGGGTCAGAAACAACCAAACAAGCCCGGAAGGAAAAGAGCAAAATCAACATTAAGATAAAAGCTGCCACTGTCACCTCCCCATGGGTCTCACCCACATCTGTGTCACCCAGTCCACGACCAAAAGACAAGCGCAGTTTCTTCATGTGTCTCCTGGCTCCATCCTGCTTCCTTCCTCAGTCTCTTCTGCAGCTTCTCCTCTTCCTGCTCAGCTCCACCCTCCCTTGGGTGGGGCAGGAAACCTCCCCCTTTCCTGGGGACCACCCTGTTACATTACTACTGATTTGCCTGTTCTTACTTTCTATGAATCCCCAGCAGTGGTGCCTGCTGTGATGAGTTGGCCACCACATTCCCAGAACCAACTCCAACCAGTCCTATCAAAGGTATGAGGACCAGCAGGACAGTGTGCCCTCCTCAGAAGTCTAAGAGTACGATGTACAGAACAACCTTCCAATAGTTGAGCAACACATACCAATCAGTGTCCCTTTCTCAGATGTTTCACACCACACCAGAAAACACCTTGATACAAGCCCCGTGAGTGTAGAACCTCTCTCTCCGAGAGCTGAGTCAGTTTTGGAGGACCTTCTTCCAAGTCCCTAAGGAACCAGTACCAGCTCGGCATCACCTTATAAGAAATATAGCTATCAGCTCCACTGTATTCCTTTCTTGAGTTCCTAAATTACCAGCAACACCTGGGTCATGCCCTCTCTTCTACAGTCCAGAACCAAGTCTATAATGCCTAAAAGTGTCTAGATTTTGGTAATTCCAACCTCTTCCCTTTATTCCCACACTGTTAGGGGTACAGCACCATCTGGAAACTCATACCTCTGTATACCTCAGTGTTCCCTTTTCAGGCCTCTAACACCTTTTCAAGATTCCCTGAATTAATTTATCTTGGTAGGTTTCTCTTTTCTGCACTAGATCTTGACTGACATAGGACTGGGTATGAAGTGTGTTGCCAAGAGAGACCGACAGAATGGGACTCTGGGATTGGTTTGGGTATGTGTGTGGCTTTAGTACACTGCTGAATTCCTGCCCAATGGGGAATGGGCATGTAGTAACATCACAATTCATTAAATTACCACCTAGTTTTTTTTTTTTTTTTGAAGATCTATTTATTTATTTATTTATTTATTTATACAAGCACTGGGTACAGTCAGAAGCGCGGGAGGGCGAGAGAATTCACCAGAGCCAAAGCGGGGAACAGAACAGGCAGACTGATGAAATACACTGCTAGGGGGAGCAGCAGGCACAGCAGGAGAGGTCTGTGTGCCATGTGGGACCCTCGCCAGTGGCCGGGGATCGAACTGGCACTGCAGAGGCTGAGGGCAGCTTTGCAGCCCAGAGCTCAACCTCTGCGCCACCAGGGGAGGCCCTACCACCTAGTGTTAATTGTGATGAAGTGCCCTGTAGAAGCAAGGGGGGCGATGGGGGAACCAAGGGAGAGCTATGGTGATAAATATAAATGCCTCAGTGATTAAGGAGCAGGATGGTCATACTGAATTCTACTGGAGATTTTGCACAATGAAGCTCAAGGATCTAAATTCTCAGCTCAGAGAACTGATAATAGTGGACCTAAAAGAATCTCTCATTTGTTTTAGCCACAGGACACATTCCACTGAAAATTAAAATTTAATTGTAGAGTTTACATAAAGAATCACAATATATAATAAATACACAGATTTGCCAAGACTCTAGTGGGAAAATTAAGACAATGATTGGAAAGGGAAAAACCTTATCCTGTGAAAAAAGGAATTCATTGATTCTGAGTATCTAGATCCTCCCATTTATCCCACAAATCTCCTCTACTTAGAGAGAACCCAGACTTCTCCTGTCTGAAAATTCCAGACTGAGAAGTCTACTACAGTCTATTACAGGTCTCATGACCAGTAATCTCAAGCAGGGAAGTTATCCTGCATAGGGATGCCTTGCTTTCTCAAGACAGACTCCTTCCACTCTGTTGTTTGTACACAGAAATCAGAATCTAAGTTCAACATCTGAAACTAGAAGAACTTCTCTACTCCAAAATAATTGCAATATTTTAATGATTTATATTGGAAAACAAGCCATATTAATAGCAAAAAAGGATGAAGTACTTAGAGATTTAAAAACTCTATTTAATCATAAATTCAATAGGCATTTGTATTTACTAATAAAACACATGAAGCAAACATAAAAGATTCAAGAGGAGAAACAGAAAAATCCAAACTCTACTTGTAGATATAATATACTTCTCTCAACTGACAGATGAAGCAAAAAATATATATATAAGAGGAAACAGATTTAAACAAGGTTAATCAAATGAACCTGACACATATAAAATACTACCCAATAATTGCAGAATACTTATTAGGCTCAAATACACATGAAATAATTACCAAAATATATGATATCCACTGTCATAAAGGAAGTCTCAACAAATGGTAAAAAACAAAAAATATATAATGTATGTTCTTTATTAGCTGCAGATTTTGAAAAAAATTATATAAAGGAAAAAGAGCTGGGAAATAGACATTTGCTTAAAATTAAAGAGCAGCAAGAACAACAGACTGGATAATAGTATCATGAGTTTGATTTTGATAATCATATTGTGCGCATCAAAGAAATGTCCTTGATTTTAGAAAATGCTCATGAAAGCAAGTGACTCTTAACCCAAAAAAAAGTTGTATTATATATGTATGTTATACATACAGACAAATGTGCATGTATACACAGAGAAACAGCAACTGACAGCAAGAGTTAGGGATAGAAAAATTAAAGGAAATAATAGATACAGAAAGTTTATTCTGTGGAGAATCTGCACAAAAGGTATATATGTAGGAACCTTTGTACTATTTTTTTTTAAAGATTTATTTATTTATACAAGCACTGGGTACAGTCAGAAGTGCGGGAGGGTGAGAGAATTCACCAGAGCCAGAGCGGGGAGCAGAGCAGGCAGAAGGACCGAAGTACACTGCTGAGGGGAGCAGCGGGAGGCAGGAGAGGTCTGAGCGCCATGTGGGACCCTCCTCCGGTGGCCTGGGAGCAGCCGGGGATCAAACCTGGCAGCTTCACAACCCAGCGCTCAACCGCTGCGCCACCGGGGAGGCCCCCTTTGTACTATTTTTGTAACTTTTCTGTAACCTGAAATTATGTCAAAATGAAAAGCTAAAAGAAAAATGTCACATAATCTAGAAAACCAGGCTTTATAAATGCAAAAAGCAAAGGTGAGAGATTGTTCAATAACTTAATAAAATATATATATTTTGCTGCTTTAATTAGCACTAAGAATGAAAACAATAGTCAGTGGTAGCAAGATTGTAGAGAACTTGGGATCTTCATACTTAGCTGTTGAGTAAATTGGTCCAGATCTTTTAGGAGAAACAACTTGGCAACACAGACTAAGAGCAAAAATATGTGCAGACTGCAGTGATTGTACTACTAGACTCTAAGGAAGTATTAAGCATTGAAAAGTCACTATCACAACTATAATCACTACACCTTATTTAAAATAATGCAAGTTGAGAAAATTCTGAACATAACATGGGATCATTTAAAAAAACAATCACAAAAATTATTTAGCCGCTAAAATAAATAGTCTATAAAGACTAAGTAAAACTGGAATGTGCTTATAAACAGACATAATAATATGATGAGAGTAAAATTATGTGAACAGAACAACTATAAGCTAATACACACGGGGAAAAAATTCACAACACGTATGAGTATATAAAGGATGACAGCATTGGTTTTCCCTTTTATCTTTCAAAATGTTAGTAACTAGCACAATTTATACCAAGGAACATGCAAATAAAAGAAAATAAACTTAAGTTATTACTTTAACAATCCTGTCTGTTTACAAAATGCATCTAGAAATAATTCAGAGAGACATGAGGGAGAAAAAGCCATGATAAAGTAATTTATACAAATAAATTTATTTTTTTTAATGTATAAGGTACACATATGATTGAGGAAGTTGCGCGAGTTCAGTAGGGGGAAGATCACAAAGGAAAGGATACATCAAAAATATTCATATGGAAAGCATGAAGATCCGTTCATCTTTCCTTAAAGAACAAGTACAACATTCTATACAAATGAGAGGATTGTGACAAAGAATTTTAAAGTTCAAGAGCATGTCACAGTAATGAGGTATAATAAAGGACAGGAAGAGTCTTACAGGTTTCTCTCTCGTCCAACACTCACTGAAGTCTCATTCGTTTTTCAGGAGGGCCTTTAGTGCTCACTGTCTGTTGGACATTCTTGGTGGCCTCCTTCTCCTCAGATTTTACAGTTTCTGGTATAGGTTCGGCTTCTTTCTTTGTCTGATCCACTTGACATCAAAAGCAGATATTGTTTGGAGGTTGGCGGTGGAGGAATGACCAATGTAGACAACAATTAATGTGAATGGTTCTGATTCTCAAATTTAGTTAGAACTGCTTGTCTCAAGTTCTAATTTATCTGTTTCAGGCCAATGTATAAGAATCTACTTATAAACCTAAAAACCTGATTATCCATGCAAATCTGACACTACACAAAAACACATGGCATTTAAATAAGCCATTATATACAAACAAGACATGTAATTATTCTGTACCAGTTCAACAGTTTAATACCTATTTTCAATAGTGTAACAGACCTTTTCACACTGATATCTGAACTAAAAACAACCTCAAATCATCTCATTTTCTCCTACCTTCTCAATGCCATTTCTTCCTAATTCATGTTTTTAATAATAATACACTATTATAAAAGCATCATTCTTGACAATTTAGCATATCTGGGAGAGAGAGGTAAGGGGTAACAAACTACAATGAAAGTCTCAAAGGACAAAATGCCCATAACTCATCTCGATGCTACAGTTTCTACCGTGTTAAGTAATTTATTTATTTGGTTTTCTTTCAAGTTTAGTAAGAATATCAGAGGAACCATACCTGGGACAGGCTTTTCTCCAGACTTTTGCTGTAATTTAAATTTAAAAAGTGGGGAGACGGGGGAGAAGAAAACAAGACAGGTTAGCAAGTTTTCTTCCTTCTTGAGTCCATAATTCTAATTAAAATTACACCTTCATTCAAATTACACTTAATACAAATTATAAATGACTTCATGAAAAGGAACTACTATTCCTGTACCATTATAAAGTTATCATTTGCACTCCAGAAAAGACACAAATCTAAAACTAGAACAAAAGAGTCAAACATTGAAAACCCTTGAGCTTCTACAAAGCCCTCTGCCTCTGTACCTGAGCTACACTGCTTTACAAAAAGTAAAGTAAAATCAAATGGGAGAGAATAATGGAGACTTTTAAGATTCTAGAGGCACATTTGTTTAGGGAATATGAGCTATAAGAACGTATAACCAAGTTTAGATGAATCCTCAACTTTTAAAGTTGTAACGTGTGGGATGTAAAGAAACGAAGTATTCTGCTGTGAATATAAGGTTTCTAGTGAGTAAAATTATACTACAGGAAAAAATGGGGAGATTAGCAGTCAGGAACAAGGTGAGATCCTCCATTCTCTACACCCAATCTTTCACTTGGTTGGACCCTACTGTCTCATTCCAAACTTAAATGCTTTAAAACACGTGTTCTCTCCTCCTCTCCCAAGGTTTATAACCTGCTCCTGATCTTCAGCCAATGACTTATCCTCCATGTTAAAAAAAAAAACCCAAGTTCCCATTCATCTACCTCCCTCCAAATTTATACCTTTACAAACACACACACACCTTATTCCCTGTCATCTCAGAAGAAAAGCGCTCTCCCACCCCCAGACCCCATGTCTTCTTGTCTATTGCTATGACTAAAGACTACAAGATTTTGTTATCACCTGTTCCAGATTACTGCTGCCAACTGCCTACTAGCCCACTCCAATCTCAAGTTCTAGGAACCATTACATTTAATAATAAAAAAATACTATTCTCGGGCCTCCCTGGTGCTCAGGAGGTTAAACACCGCACTCTGAAGCAATCCACAGCCTCTGCAGCACAAGTTCAATCCCTGGGCCAGCCAGGGAGCAACCCACATGGCGGCGCAGCAGAGACCTCTCCTGTCTCGCCCGCTGCTCCCCTCAGCAATGTGTTTCGGTCAATCTGCCGATTCAGTTCCCCACTCTGTCTCTAGTGAGTCCTCTCACCCCCTGCACCTCTGGCCTGTACCCCAGTTCTTGTATGCATAAATAAATAAATCTTTAAAAAACAAAACAAAACATACTATTCTCTATTGTGCAGAAAAGGTTAACACAGGAGGTCTGACACTGCTATCCTTAGAAAGGTCAGTCTGCAAAACTGGTCACTGGCTACAGACTAGTACTTGGATTCTGGGAGGGTTTCCACTACTCCCTTAGCAGGTAATGGAGGCTCGCTGTGCCTAGATTACTTGTACAAATAATGCCGTTTATGCTGACTGTCTGCTTTTCTTTAGGGAATGTGGAAAATGGGCATATGCTAGATAAAGGGTACCACCGTGATGAACCCTCCTATGCCCCCAAAACATATGAGCACCATAAGTCATTAAAGGACTTCCTTGGGCAGAAATTTCACATGCATATTGCTGCATTTTTATTGCTGAGAAAAAAGAGCCTTGTGTGAGCCCTCATGGCAAGGTATGAGTGTAAGTCTGTACATGGATTCCCTCTTGCCTCCTCGTGTGTCTTCTCTCCTTCTACGGAGCTGTATATCCTTATTATGTCACTAATAAATCCTGCCAATCCTTCAAGCAAATCCCAGTACAGTGGGAGGCATGGGAACCCTAAACATAGCCACATTAACACATATTTTATGAATAAATTAGGACTTAAACATGTGTAAAAGTAATTTAGGAAAATAAATTTTTCTTTTAAAACAATGGTAGAACACTGATGAAGTAAAAAATTGAGAGGAACTATTCTCATGTGTTAACACTAACCATTTGAACTATATTGGCAAAGGAACTGTATATGGACATTGGATAATGTCATTACCTACTGATGCTTACTGTCTCATCCTTTTTAGTGAATAATGCCAGACAATCTAGCAGGATGTGGCTTGAGATGGGAAAAAAAATGATGGCACCGTTCTGACAAAATGTAGTCAGGTAGTCTTGGGATAAGCCTAGCAGAAATGATATCCTATAATGTTCTAGTAACTTCTGAAAATAGCCCAGCAAAGACATTCATCATAAAATGTTCTGAGGGCCTGAATTTCCATCACATTAGTATTAGTGTAACTTTCAGTAATAACAAGAATTAAAACATGAAAAAAGGAGCTTCAAACAAGCAGGCAGAAGTCGCAAGCTACAAATGATTCTGGCAGACACAATGGGTAAACAAGGAGTTCACAGGAGATTTCAGATCTATTTTTTTCCCTTGATCTGAGAGAAACACTATGAGTACAAGGAACAAAGTACTATTAACAGTTCTAAAGAAAGTCATCCTTCCCTAGTTGAGTTACACATAGTTTGATGTACTCTATCTTTAGAAATTAGTTTTTGGACCTTGTATGACTAAAAGAAAGTGCACTTTTAGAAAATAACAAGCATGACTACGCTAAGCCTTCAAAAGAAAAATCTAAAATTCTCAAGGAAATAATATGAAGTCTGCAACCTGCTTCAAAATAATTGTGAAGAAGGGGGAGAAGATATAAAACAAGATTGGCCATGTATGATAATTGTGGAAGCAAGACAATGGTCCATGAGGGTTTCACTTTAAATTATTTGCTCTATTTTTACTTTTGGTATGTTTTTAAATTCCCATAATGTTCTATAAGACAAAGATTTTGTTTTGTTTTATTAAGATACATTGTCCAGTTTAGTTCACCAGTACAGGACAGCAAATGTGATTCAAGGCAGGAGCCCTTGTCAGAAAAAAAAGGAGTAGTCATTCAGCAGGACTACCTCACAACCCAACAGAATGTAAACTACTGAATGTTCTGGAGGAGGTTGGTCAATAAAATAGAACCCTTAGCAATTTTATATATATATATATATATATATATATATATATAAACACAAGCCTTTTCTTTTCCTATATTCTAAACTTTGGTGAGCCAGCAAAACCAAGTCTAATTAATTCTGGACCTGCACTAGTTTATTTCAAATGCCCAAGTCACATGTGTCTAAAGACTACTGAACTGTGCTAGTCTAGGTGTCCTTCAACCAGTTTACCTAGTGGTAAATATTGTGTACTCAATGACTGTATGGCCAACGACACCTAACCTCTTATACCTTATAGTGGTTATGTACACCCTACACACAGCTAAAAGTCATTAACTCATTTATTCAATAAACACTATTTCATCTTTCAGTGCAATTTATGAGATTTTTTTTTTTTCTAAACTGACTTTTTGTTCTGATTTCCAACAGTGTGCTCTGCTCTTCTCACCACCAAATCATCAGTCCAACAGCATGTGTCTCTTAGTGGAAGCAGGGAAGAGGGAAGGTGTGGCCTGTTTTACATTATCTCATGGTATGAAAAATCTCATTTAAACTAAATCTACCCCTGAAAGTCTCTGAAACAGGCCCCAACAAGAAAAACAATGTATCTGACTGTTTTGACTGGACCTTTTGTGTCCACAGCCTTGCAAAGACCCATAAACAAGTCTAAACATATGTTCATATACCCCATCTCATACTTACTTCACTTCAAAAATTCACTTAGCAGAACAGCAGATGGATTTGCTATTGCTCTTGGAACCACACTCCATAATAACATAGTGGAATTTGTATTACTTAAACACCAATCTTATATAACTATTTTCTATTACTCATATCCTCCACTTATGATGCCATATCCTATACCACAACTGCTCTATTCTTTTTGTCATAAATTTTTAACAAGGACCTAGACATGAGTTTGGATAGCAGCATACAGAATGAAAACAGCATGTATTTCACATTCTAGTTTTATTACCATCCATGACATGTCCGGTAACCCTTTAAATGAGAATATTATCTATATGCAGTTCTCATAATTCATGAAGATTCAATGAGGAATTAAACTTAAAAACACATTAATTACATTTCCTTTGCCCAATTCATTAAGTCCTTAAAAATCTTTCCTTTGATTCATAGTTCATTTTTTTAAAACTAATGAGGAAAATCAGTATTTTTAGATCACACTGTAGAGTTGTAAATTAAAAATAAAGTGTCAAATCAATTATTAACCACATTACCTGCACAAATTTGGGAGGAAATTTCTGTCTAAGGTCTAGGAGTAAAGCATCCACACGCTGTCTCTGGAAAATAGAGCTTGGTTCTTCTTTCCTTTTAGCTTTAGGTTTGACTTTCTCTATTAAAATACAAACCAAATTAAAGCTGTCTCTAATAGTAGGGGGTCTTATATTTTACAAATATTTGCCCTCCATAAATATACTCAAACTTCATTATTTTTAATGGCTGCTATTCAAAATATAATCTTCCCAAATAAATTAAATATAGCATAAGCATAGAAGTATTCTAACTTTCCCTGTTAAATGAAATTTATATTCTAACATTTAAAAAGCCAATGTCTTTTAAAGATATTTCAATTTTTACCATGTAAGCATGGACATAAATTTCAAAATTACCTAAGTCCCAATCCATATTATTGGTTTGAAATTGTCTTGTACATACTATAAGTAAGTTAGTCTTTTCCCGAAATCTAATAGGTGTAAACGGAAATGTGATTTTCTTAAAACTCCAAGCTACCACACTTAGTAATGAAGACAAAAATTCACTGAAAAATAAAACAAGTTAAACAGAAGATCATGAAGACAGGAAAGAAAAGAACTTGCAAGGGAAATTCTTACATTAATCACATGTGAAACTTTCCCAGGAAGGAGGTGTATTGTGGAACTGTCTCTTAATGAAGGGTTCCAGTTTTACTCCAAACATTTCATTAGGGTGGACAAACAGCACCTGGGAGAAGTCTAGTCAACTGATGCAAGCTTTCCTATGCCAAAGGTTGCTGCCTACAACTACTAAGAATAAATACAACTTGGGCCTCCCCGGTGGCGCAGCGGTTGAGCACTGGGTTGTGAAGCTGCCCGCAGCCTCTGCAGTGCAGGTTAGATCCTCGGCTGCTCCCTGGCCACTGGAGGAGGGTCCCACATGGCGTGCAGACCTCTCCTGCCGCCCGCTGCTCCCCTCAGCAGTGCACCTCGGTCCTTCTGCCTGCTCTGCTCCCCGCTCTGGCTCTGGTGAATTCTCTTACCCTCCCACGCTTCTGACTATACCCAGTGCTTGCATAAATCAATCAATCAATCAATCTTAAAAAAAAAAAAAAAAAGAATAAATATAACTACACCTGAAAGACCATTCATTCCAAAGGTCTGAATTCTATTTAAAGTTTGCATTCCTGCAGCAATTTATTCTGAGCTGCTATTTCTCAGCAAAGGAAATTCAGATGGCAGGCACACTAGTATAGATATATTTCCAGAAATACTTTTACTGATAAGTGAGGTACAAGACAAGGAATGGGTTAGCGGTTATAGAACCTAGAGAATGTACAATCAAGACAGGTAATTACATGGAAAGATCAGAAAACAGACTGGTTATCTGAAGATAAGGCTCTAACAGCACCTTTCCTACTTTTAATATTGGGGGGGATTTGGGTTCAGATTACAAAATGACTGAAGATAGGTAAACAAGAAATATCATTACTCATTCCTCATCACTGATTTGCTCTGTATGGGAAATAGCTCTAATAGGAAAGCTATTATTACTACATCTAGTTACATGAGTTATAGTTGACAATGCCATTATCCCATGAAGAGTCTTCATATGGAGAAGTAAAATACACTCAGAAATCATCAAGTCTTTTTCTTAAAGAAAACAACACTCAGAAAGCCAAGGGATTTAAGAGGGTCTAGGGGTCCAACATACCTTGCTCTTCATGATCTTTGAAGTGCCACCAATACCCTTTGGAAGGATGGTATCGACAGTATGACATAGCTTCATCAAAAGCTGACTGAATGCCATGCACTGCAGTAAGCTTGTAAAAAGAAACAAATCGCGAATTTCTCATTAGTTCAACCAAAATTTCCAAAGTACTCACAAAATATTATATATGCAAGATAGTAATCTCATTTTTCAGAACCTAAATCAGTTGGAGCTGTAATATATACTTTTAACATGAAGATGGCCCAGAACAACCAGGGTTCAAGATATTTTAAGTTTATACTTTACACCAACTTAACCAAGGAGGGAAACTTCTATTTGATTCTTAGAAGCAAGATAACTCAATTATAAGCTTTCTTTAGTGTTTAAGGAATGTGAAGATACTTACCACTCTAGAGTTTATAACTGATCCCAAGTCTGGTGCCTGATAGATCACTCCAGCAATGATATAATAATCAGCCATCGGGATAACTAAGGCAGTTTTAGGGGGGAAAAATTGTTTATGAATATATGCAAACAAGCTGCTTAGCAGATTTCCATAAAAAGAACTAAAATTTGCCCTTTTCCATGTTAAAGCTTAAAGACACATTTTGGCAATTCCTGTTTTTATAAATAAAGTTGTATTAGAAGCCACACCCATTAATTTATATTATTACCTAGGGCTGCTGTAGCACTTGGTGAGCAGTTGTAACAGAGGCCATAAGGCCCACAAAGCCTATAGTTACTCTGGATATTCACAGAAAAAAACTGACAACTCCTACCCCAGAGGAGTGCTTCTCAAACTTTTAATGTGCATCTGAATCACCTGAATATCTTGCTAATATGGATTCACAAAATCTGAAGTGATCCAATGCTACTCTCAATCGTACTTAGGGGCAACCATACATTTGAGGAGATATTTGTTTAGGTTTTCTATTTCTTCATCCAGTTTTGGATGACTGCAGAGTTAAAGGAATTTGTCCATCTCTTCTAGATTGTTGAATTTGTTGGCCTATAAATGTTCATAGTAATCTCTGATTATCCTCCGGATTTCTGCTGTGTCTGTTGTCATTCTTCCTCCTTCATTTATATTCCTATTTCTTTGGGCAAAACCAACTTTTAGAACCCCAATTTTTTCAGCAAGTCATTCTCTGTACTCAATACTAGGGTGAAGATTGCCCCTAAATGTACTGTTGAAGGTATATAACTGGGAGATGCAGCTAGTGATCTCTGGAATATGTGACTAGCTCTTTCATTCAAGTCTGAATTCTATACAGTTCAATATGTTTCTAAAGTAAGTTTCTGTTTGGTAGTATAACCCAGTTAAGACTTTTGGTTGAATATATCCATTAGAACTTCCAACTGATCCTCTATGAATTTGGTGTAACTACATCTACTATATATTTCATAATAGAATTAGACTCAGTAGACTGAGATGAGAAGGAATATTACTCAGAATGCTCAAGATCCAGTTGGAACAGCTATGCTCAATAGGAAGAGGTGTCTTCAATATAGTGAGTTACTCTATCAGTGCTTAGAATTGCTGTTGGCATGCTGGAAGACTCCAGATGTCCAAGCAACAACCAGTGGAACTTGGCTTTTGAAACATTTCATAAATGATAGTTATGGCTAATATACCACCCTGCCTAGACAATTTGTACAAATGCTATGAATTTCCTAGAGATTTTGGAATTTCTTCAGGCAAAAGTGCCTACCTGATTAGCCTTAATAAAAATTCTGGACTTGACTCAAGCATCTCAAATGGATTTCCTTGAATAAAGATACTACACACATGGGACTACATTTCACTACTGGAGAGAGGGTACACTTGATGTTGTCCCTTGCAGGACAACAAATTTAGGTATGTCTATATGCTGAGCCTGCTGAGTCCTCTCAGCAAAGCACTGAACATGTTACCTCGTCTTAGAGATATCCCCAAAACAACCCAATCCAAAAAAAATAAGAACATACAGTGGTATGTATCATGTATCATGGTATTTTAAGAAGAAAATAATGTCTGAAGTTTACACATTTTACCTTGGGTAGGGGACTGCCGCTGTTGTTTCCGAACGATAAAAAGAATGGGTTCTTGAGCATGTAAAAGAATGTATTCCACTCCAACCATCTGACTGAAAACAGAAAACAAACATCCAGATTTATAAAATGCCTACAATTTTGTAGAACACACAAGTTGTTAAACAAAAATAGAGCAAAAATTTAAATAGGATTGGAACTACCTATGTAGTTGCAAAAAAATGGTTGTTCAATAAAACTGGCTATTTTCCTAGTTAGGCAGAATACAGAGAAAGATTTGGTTTTTAAACAGAATTTCTCTACAAAAACTCAAGATAACCTTAATTCTGAGTTCATGACTGAAATGAAGAGCATACATTACAAAATGGCAACCAAAATACTATGCTTCCTAAGATCTACAAATATATTTAAAACATACAAATATACATGAAGACTACCCATCCTGACTCTACATCTCAACTATATATTTTACCCGACTAGAAAACATCAAAAATATTATCCTAGACCCAACAAACCTTTTAATCTGACAGACTGCTTAAAAGTATCAACTTGTCTTAATAGTCGTAAATATTTGCCTCGTAACAAAAACTATTTAAAATACTAGAAAATTTTAATTTCATAAGCTTCCCTAATGTTCAGCTGCAAATGACCAGATGAAAAATTATATGGTTGTTTCAGAAACTTTTGTAATTGTAATAAATTCTTAATTATTTGGTATCCTAAATTTAAAGAAATCTGCTTCACATTTGTTTAGCTAAAATTTCATTTCTCATATAAAGAAAAATCTACTATAAATCAGACTATGCTTTTAAGATATTAAATTAGATGCAGAAAAGACAATACGTATGGTTATCTTGTTGAGGACAATAGTTGAACTATTAAAATCACTCATTAGATCTACATCTATATTTTAATTGAATGATGCTATAAGAAATTTTGCAGAAAAACTTCCTAGGATATAAGTGACGCTATCTGTCTCTCAACAGCCACAAAGGACTGGATTCCAAGACTCCCACAGGCACCAAAATCCATGGATGCTCAAGTTCCTTATAAGAAATCATATAGTATTTACAAAAAACCCACACTCATCCTTCTGTAGACTCTAAATCATTTGCAATTACTTATAATACCTAAAAGAAGTTAAATGCTATATAGTTGTTATACTATATATTTTCAGAAAATAACAATAAGAAAATAGTCTATACATGTACAGACACAACCATCATAGGCTTAACTCCATAGCACAGCTGACCCTTGAACAAGGGTTTGAACTGCATGGGTCCACTTCCAGGTGGACCTATATCCCATATCCATGGATTGTGCAATCCATGGACTCAAGCAACCATTGGTGTCCACTGTTTGAATCCATGAATGCAGAACTGGTAGACACAAAAGGCTGACTGTATTAATAATTGTTCTGTACGTCAAACTTGCATAAACTGAAAACTATTTCTTCCAAAATTTTCTATCTTGTACTTCTTGATTAATTCATTCACACAGTTGGAAAGTACCATTCACTGCAAAATCTATACTTGGGCAAAGAGGCTTCATTCTCACAATAACTTACTTTAAGTGTTCTAATGTTAACCTCTGCATTTTGACCACTTCATTATTGCATGTCCTGTCATAAAAAGGATTACTTCTTTCTGAAAAGTAATCCAGGACACTTCCACTGTTCAAAATAGGAATCCAGGAACTGTCAACCCAAGAGATTCCCAGCAGATTATCTATAAAAAAGAAACAAAATGATAAAGTATGACAAAATAGAACAAAATCGAATTCAACAGACTTTTACTAAGTATCTATGTAGTAAGGCACTATGATAATAAGGATAACATGGATCTTAACCTACAATATTCTTACAGTCTAACATGATAAAGAAAGCAGAGACAACACTACACTATAACAAATGTTTAAACAAATGTGTTATTATAGCACAGCTGAGTAGAATACTTTACCTGTAGGTGAATACTTTACCTGTAGGTACAGGAGGAGATGGATTTCAACATTGTGCATTAAAAAGTAAATAGAGGGGGCGGAGCAACATGGCGGCGAGGAGACACTGCGAGTAAGATCTCCCATTAAAAAAAGTTAATAGGGAGGAAAAGCGGCAGGTCCCAGAGAGAACCGGGACACGGAAGATAAACGGGTGACTCCAGCAAACTACCCGAAGAAGAAAGTGGCCATAAAAGAGACTAGAAGGGAGGGAAGCGCAGAACCCTGCTCCCCTCCCCCGCCCACAGAGTTGGCACTCTCCGACCGGCAGAGAGGAGGGAAACAACAAACCAAAACGACCCACAAGAACAAACGACAAACGACGCAGCAAGCGGGACTGTGAGTGTGCAGCCACCACAACCCCATGAACGGGAGCTGTGGAGAACCCTGCAGGATTCGCCGCCGCCGCGGTGAGCGAACGGCTCCGGGCGCCATTAGAGAAGAACAAAGACCCCGGGAGACGCGCACACAGCCCGGGCTGCCGGTGAGCTTGCGCGGGAAGGTGGCGCGCTTGGCACGCTTGAAAAGAAAACGCGGACCGGGATCGCAGCGGCCCAGGTCCCCGCGCCTGCGACCTAGGCTTGCGGGGAGACGCGCGAGGTCCTCACTGAGGTGAAGGTCCCTCCCTGAGTAAGCAGGAACCAGGCGCCCAGGCACGGGAGCGGGTGCAAAAGGCTCCATTCCCGCGCCACTGAACTGGGCTACAGCCCGCGTCCTGGACCTGAGGGCTTTGAACTGAGACCCGGGGCAAGAAATTAGGGGCGTGGGTTCCCCACGACCGTGGGGCACAAGGCAGACACAGCACCCCAAAGCTGTTGAGGTTTACCCTACCATACCCGCTCTTTCCTGTCCCACGGGGTGGGGGGGCGAAAACAGCCCCCCAAGGACAATAGGAGAGATCTCTGGCGCCACCTAGCGACCAGGAAAAAAAGTCACTAACACCCCATAGAACAGGCAATTCTTAAGACTGCTTGAAAAGGGCAGAAGGCTTCTGGAGGACCCAGTGGCCAGCCGGGAAGTTAGCCCACCCCATGCCAGGCCCCTTCCGACCAGCAGTCTGAGCCCACAGAGGGAGCAGGCACCCACGTCCGGGGCAGACCGGGGGCGCAGAAGAGTGTGCTGAAACCGGAGGCGCAGGGACTGCATCCCGCTTCACCATTTTAGAACAGGACATTTCTTCAGTAAAAAACTGCCTAAAACCAGCAGAAAGCTCCCCCAGAAGACAGAGATGGCTCCTGGAAGAGCCAGAGGGGAGCGGAGAAGTTCACCCAAGATGCCAGTCAGTCCGAGCAACACAGTGTCCCAACGCATATGACAAATTAGAAAACAGACAGTAGGGAGTAGAAGAACCACACGCAACCTAACAACTCCTCAGGAAAGAAGCACACCACAAAAAGAAAACCACTCCCCAGATTGCAACGACAGACTTGGAGAACTTCTGAGCCTTCCAGAAAGAGAATTTAAAATTGCCATGATTAAAAAAGTGATAGATCAGAAGAAGGAAATAGAGTCCCTAAAGAGGGAAATAAAAGAAATGCAGGAGATCAAAGAATTAATGGAGGAACTAAAGAACTCTGGGAAAAGCAATGAAAGCAGAATAGATGAAATGGAAGAACGAATAAGTACTCTTGAAGACACAGAAATAAAAAGAACCAAAACAGAAAAGGAAAGAGAAGTACGAAGGAAAAAGAATGAAGAAAGACTTCGGGAACTATCTGACTCCATGAGGAAAGGAAATATAAGAGTTATAGGAATTCCAGAAGGAGAGGAGAGAGATGTAGGAACAGAGAAAATATTCCAGGAGATAATTGAAGAGAACTTCCCAAATGCGAAGAACGAGCTGAAAATGATATACAAGAAGCAAGAAGAACACCAAACTTCCACGACGAAAGGAAAAACACAGCAAGACACATAATAGTAAAGCTCCCAAGAATCCAGGACAAGGAAAAAATAATGAAGCTGACAAGAGGGAAGACACAGATAACATTCAAAGGAAAACCAATCAGGCTGACATCAGACTTCTCTGAAGAAACACTACGGGCAAGGAGAGAGAGGAGACATAGTCAACAGACTTCAAGAAAACAGATGCCAACCAAGAATACTCTATCCCGCAAAGCTCTCTTTCCTCCATGAAGAAAGAATATGGACCTTCCCAGACAAAGAGAAACTCCGGAATTTCATTACGACTAAACCCCCACTCCAAAAAATACTACAAGGAATCCTAAAGCCAGAACCTCAGAGGGACGAATAACAACGAAAAGAAGACCAAAAAAAAAAAGTTATTAAAAGAATAAATAAAATCAAAGAAAGACAAACATAATAGCAAATACAGATGCTAACATATGGAATCACAAAAAATCCCGAATAGCCAAAGCTCTCCTGAAAAAAAAAAGAAGGAATGGAGGCATCACACTCCCAGACTTCAAACTATACTACAAAGCCATAATCATTAAAACTACATGGTATTGAACAAGAACAGACATACAGACCAATGGAATCGAATAGAAAATCCAGAAATAAACCCACAGATTTATGGTCAACTAATCTTTGACAAGGAGCAAAGACTATGCATTGGAGCAAAGAAGGTTTGTTCAATAAATGGTGCTGGGAAAACTGGGTCGCTACATGCAAAGAATGAAGCTTGACCATTACCTCACACCATACACAAAAATCAACTCAAAATGGATTAAAGAACTAGACATAAGACCTGAAACCATAAAATACATAGAAGGAAATATAGGCGAAACACTACGGGATTTGCACATCAAAGACATCTTTACAGACACATCACCCAAAGCAGTGATAGTGAAGGCAAAGATAAACAGCTGGGACTACATCAAATTAAAAGCTTCTGCACAGCAAAAGAGACAATAACAAAAACAAAGAGAAACCCCACCAACTGGGAGAACATTTTTGCACCCAACACTAATGATAAAGGACTGATCACAAAAATCTGCAAAGAGCTGATGAGACTCAGCAACAACAAAGAAAATAATCCAGTCAAAAAATGGGCAGAAGAGCTAAAAAGAAACTTCTCTGAAGAGGAAATGCAAATGGGCAACAGGCATATGAAAAAATGTTCAACATCACTTGTCATCAGGAAATGCAAATCAAAACTACCATGAGATACCATCTCACACCAGTGAGAATGGCACATATTAAAAAAACTAGCAACAACAAATGTTGGCGAGGTGTGTGGAGAAAAAGGAACTCTTCTGCACTGTTGGTGGGAGTGCAAACTGGTCCAACCACTATGGAGAGCTGTGTGGAGATTTCTGGACCTACTAACATAGAGTTTCCATATGATCCAGCAATTCCACTCCTAGGTATTTACCCAAAGGACACAGAAACATCAATTCCAAAGAGCACCTGCACCCCTATGTTTATAGCAGCACTGTTACAAATAGCTAAGCTTTGGAAACAGCCCAAATGCCCAAAAATAGATGACTGGATCAAGAAGATGTGGTACATATATACCATGGAATATTACTCAGCATTCAAAAAAGATAAACACATGCAATTTGTAGCAACATGGATGGCGCTGGAAGGGATCATGCTCAGCGAAATAAGCCAAAAAGAAAAAGAAAAATACCGGATGGTCTCACTCATAGCAGGAATCTAGAAAACTTAAATAAGGGACCAGGAAAATGAATATAAGAAAGTGAAAATCAAAATCAACAAAAAACTATGAACCAGAGACACTTTTTGGGGGTGGGGGAGGGGAAGGATTGGGTCAGAATGGGGCGTTTGCAATTATATGGGGAATATAAAAATAAAATTTATTATTTAAAAAAAAAAAGTAAATAGAGGTTAACCATAGAGAAAAGTGGCAAAGTAATTCTAAGTAGAAAAAATATATATGCAAAGATAAGAAAACATAATAGTATAGTATGTTTAGGGAGTAATATGATTAGGTGAAGAAAGCAGTCATATTGCTTCACATTTTAAAGCAGGATTAAATCTCAAATTTTTCAAAATACAAAAGAAAAAAAATAGGGTAAGCAGAGCTAGATACCATTAAGTAATAAGCTTTTATTGGTTAGACTATTGGCTACAATGTTTCACACTAATGGCTATACTAAATCCCACTAGGTCTGACACAATCACCAAAATGCTTATGCAAAATGTTCAAAGGAGGGCCCCGTGGCACAGCAGGTTGAGCGCTGTGCTGTGCTTGAGCGCTGTGCTGTGAAGCTGTCTGTAGCCTCTGCATTGAGGGTTCGATTCCCAGCTGGCCAGGGAGATTCCCACACAGCGTGGCAGACCTCTCCTGCCTCTCCCGCTGCTCCCCTCAGCAGTGTCTTCAGCCCATCTGGCTGTTCTGCTCCCCGCTCTGTCTCTGGTGAATTCTCTCACCCTCCTGTGCCTCTGACTGTACCCCAGTTCTTGTATAAATAAATCTTTAAAAAAAAAGTTCAAAGGAAAAAGAACTGAAAACTTCAACCTCTCCTATACTGCAATCTCTTCTGGCATTTTTCAAAAAAGTCAGACCTAATCCAATCTGACAAGCAGTTCTGAGCAAAATTAATCAAATGAGATAAAACATGCTACATGCATTATAAAAGAGGAAACTGATGAAGTATGTTAATGACCAAATCAGTCCAGACCATAAGATATTCATCACAAATACGTCCTGTCATAATGAAATATATAAGAAACCAGGAAATTAACATTTTCAGGAAAAACCAGATTTTCTAATGAAAAATAAGGATAATCATTTTCAGTTTTAAACACTACAGTTACTAGCTTTGTTTAAAGCAATGTTTACACACTTCTTATTTCCTTAGGAATGACTATTTAGGAGGACTTGCAGAAAGGCAATTTTTGGTTTATTTCTCACTTAAATAGCAGAAACTAACACTTACAGATCATTTCAGCATAGACAAAGGAACAACCTGAAGAGACTACTAATTAGCCAATAAATGTGGACATGAGGTGACTAGGAACTGGTAGAAAGTAATGCCAATGCACAAGAAGAAAAGGACAGAAGGGATATTTTTAGGAGGAAAAAAATAATTTCCTGAATGACCAATTATAAAGTCTGCAAAACTCTATAAACAATAACTCATTTAGGGAAGCAGTAACAGTAGACTTGGCTTGGATACACTGAATTTAATATGGAATCAAATTCTTAGAATTAGGAATTGTAAGTCTCATCTGCCCCAAACAAGAAAAGCATATTGACAATTAGCAAATATCTGACAAGTTAATTTCCCATATCTTAGTTTTCTAATCTATTTGAAATAGTATTTATGTGCTACCTTACATAGGCAAAATGCTCAGTATTTTGTAATAATTCAACAAATGCTAATTGTGATTACAGTAGGCCTGTAGCAAATTTACTTTAAGAGCATAATGAATAAACTGATTTCTGTCTTAATCGCAGCTAATCTAGTTTGTGACTCTTTTTTCCTGTTTGCTTTTTTTTAAAAAGAGATCCCTTTCATTCTCAAAAGAGTATGATTTTAGCAGATAATTTAAATGGTCATGTTAGGATAAATTCATTTCAAATGTCACTATCTGTACAAAGTCATTCTCTACTTCGCAAGACAAAAATAATGACTTCTTTATGTTCTCATAGACGTTTTTATACACTTTTATTACATGGTATCATAACCCAGAAATACAAATGTGTTCCCATTAAATTCTGAGTCTTTAGAGAACTGGGACTGTGTTTTACTCATCAGAAACTACCATAGAACTGATTGCAATACTCAGCAAATGTTTATAAATGCATATTATTAATGCATAATTGAAGGCCAAGGAAAGTACAGTGTCATTTACTCTACTGGTCAAATGAGGGTGAAAAAAATCTATGTTAAGTTTCATACAGAGGGGAGAAGCAGGTGGGGAGCAATGCATGGTATGTCCATGGACTTTGGCAGAGGACTATGGGTGCACCGGTGGTGGGTCTAGTAAGATACAATGAAGAAGTGTGTGCCTATATCTCTGACACATACATGCTGCTGAACACCAATGTTACCTCAATGAAAAATAATACAATTTTAAAACATGAAAGTCAAAAAACAAAACAAAGTTTCATGCAGGTCAGGTCAGATAACAGAGTGAAGATGCTGGGTTCACCTCCTCCACAAATTCACAACTAAGTACAAGAGAGCAAAGCTGACACCACTGAAAGAGAAAAGGACAACTACCACATATATCAGGAGCAATGGTATGATGGAAAAGGGCAGGAAAAACCTTAACTAAACTGTGTTTAGGGCCTCCCCGGTGGCGCAGCGGTTGAACGCTGGGTTGCGAAGCTGCCCGCAGCCTCTGCAGCGCCGGTTCGATCCCAGGCTGCTCCCCGGCCACCGGAGGAGGGTCCCGCATGGCGCGCAGACCTCTCCTGCCGCCCGCTGCTCCCCTCAGCAGTGTACCTCGGTCCTTCTGCCTGCTCTGCTCCCCGCTCTGGTGAATTCTCTCACCCTCCCACGCTTCTGACTATACCCAGTGCTTGTATAAATAAATAAATGTTTAAAAAATAAAATAAAATAAATGGGCCTTCTTTATAAAAAAATAAATAAAATAAACTGTGTTTAGTGTTTGCATTGATACTGTGCAGCACAACCCACGAAAGGGAGGGGCGGCCAAGGTATGGGACCCCTTCTGCTATTGTTAACTCAGGGGCACTCCACACCAGACTTTGGAGACCCATCATGCAGGACAGAGGATGCACCACAAGAAAACAATCGGAGTAAGGATGCAGTGATTGATTTCAGCCTGGTCTAGAATAAGCTGGAGCCTGAACCTGCAAGGGGAGCCCAATCAGATCACCTGTTGTCTCCCATAGAAGAGATTATTTGCAGCCTGACGCTACAATATTCAAAACATCTGCCTTATCACCACCCTAGACAACCAGGCCAAAACCTAGGCAACAACTGAAAGGTGTTGCTACAGAGTTTAAGCACCTGGACCTTAATAACAGGAGCAAGAGCCCCAAGGTAAAGCTCCAAACAGGAAAAGAGAACAATTTCAGACATGTGGCCCAGTCTCAGCTGTAGCTACAACCCCATGCTACATCTAGTGTTCAACCTACAGTCTAGAGGTTGAAGCAGGCAAGTGTCTATAGGAGATATTATGGCCAAGAAATTGGCCTACGGAAGGGGATCTCTATGGAGCCCATAGTACAATAGGAAGTTTGAACTGTTGATGCTCACTGGTGCTCACCTGATGCACCTTTTGGTGCCCTACTACAGATAAGCCATTACCAGCACCAGTGCCCTGGTCACATGAACAGGTGCAAAGGCAGTAATCTACGAAATAACAGATACCTAAAAATCTGGGTAAACAACGTAGGATTACATACAGCTTATTGCAGGAGGGGTATAAACACAAAATATTATGAAAAAAATCCCTATTATAACCCATAAAAACTAAAAATGAAGTGACAACATATCACAAATACTCAAGTGAAAAAATCCTGAAAGAAGTTTCAACGCAGCAAAACTTAAAAATATGCCAGAAAAGAAGTTTAAAAAGTTCATAATCACTTTTAATAATGAAGTGCTGGTCAAAACCACACCCATGAAAATAGCACACATTAAATAACAAGTGCTGGAGAGGATTCAAAGTGGAACCCTATCACACTGTTGCTTGGAATGCACATTGGTTCAGCCATTTTGGAAAGCAATTGATTTACCACAAAATACTAAAAGTGGATATACCACACCACACAGCGCACTCACTTTTGGGCACCTGTCCAAAGAACATGAAACCATCAACTACAAAAAAGCATATGCTTTAGGATGTATATTGCAGCATTATTTACAATAGCTAGGATCTGGAAACAACCTAAGTGCCCACTAGAGGGCTGGACAAAGAACAAACGATACATCCAAAAATGGAACCCGATTCAGTCATAAGGAAAGATTAAATGTTGCCATTTACAGCAAAATGGAAGGAGTTGTGGGAATTATGTGTAGTGATGTAAGTCAAAATGACACATATATTTGACATTTATATAATGGATGGTTCAACATAGTAGTATACTTATAAAAACTAGCCCACTAATAAGTAGTGAGGTTTCTGAGGTTACCCCCAGAGGGGGAGTGAGATAGGATTAAAGGGTAAGAGTGGTGGTGGTGGGAAAAACTGTTTAAATAAATCAATTAAAACCTTAAAAGCAAAGTCTCGTGCAAGTGTAGGAAGTTTTGTGGAAGCCATTACAATAGTAAAAGATAAAGATATTTGCACATGACTCTTACATGAATTTTTCTTGAGAATTACCATCATAATATCTCCTCCCAACCCAGAGAAACATGGTCTGTTTGAAACTAAATTTGCATGCTTCAGTTACTTTTAATCGCTCTCTGTTCTCTCTTTGCGATTCCAGAGCCCAATTCCCAAGCTTTTTTTTTTTTTAAAAAACTAAAACGGATGTGTATACACTTGCTGAAAAGAAGATGCATGGCCTAATGCTACCAGTGATCAGGTAGTAATTAAGGGATTGCCTCTCCATATATATATCCACTGATTCAACAAATATTTGAGTAACTTCACCATTCAGATGCACGAATGAAAACGACCCCTGGCCTCAGTAACTGCTGAGAGTTCGACAGAAAGGATTACAAATTTAAAATAATTTTTAAAAAACAAAACAGAAGAAAGCCTCAGGAATTCATGCTCAGGGACGCGTCAGGAAATGCTATCAAAAATAAGACAATCGCCGCGCTAAGTCGGCACGAGAGGAACTAAATCAGGTTGGCTCATTACCCCAAATCCAGCCCAATGGCCATTTCTGCTCCCCGGAGAAGAGCCCCAATACTGTTGCAGAGAAATGCGTGTAGAACACAACTTTAAGTCTGAGGCTTTAAAGTCAAGAGCTGCTTCTAATCCCTTCCGTTTTGACAGGTATAAAAGACGCCCGAGGGGCTGGGAAAAATTAAGCAACTTTTGGCGAGATTATACCTTTGGGCCGTTCACAGAAACCATTCACAACAGCTTGAGGAACAGCACAAAGGAATCTGAACCTTGCCCCCGCGAGCTATAAACCCCCAAATCAGACCCCAGACAATCAGGAAACAAAAAGTAACAGCACACTGGGGCCTCCCCGGTGAAGCAACGGGTTGAGCACAGCGCTGTGAAGCTATCCGCAGACTCTGCAGTGCCGGTTCGATCCCCGGCCGGCCAGGGAGCAACCCACATGGCGCAGCAGACCTCTCCTGCCTCGCCCGCTGCTCCCCTCAGCAGTGTACTTCAGTCAATCTGCCTGTTCTGCTCCCCACTCTGTCTCTGGGGAATCCTCTCACCCCCCGCATCTCTGGCCTGTACCCCAGCTCTTGTATAAACATAAATAAATCCTTTAAAAAAAAAAAAGTAAAAGCACAGGTTACCTCGGATATCCACCGCCGCCATAATTCCAAACGCGTTCGCGGGTTCTCCTTCCGGCGCAGAACAGACGTAGCAACCAGGACGACGGAAGCGGTGGATTGACAATCTTAGCGCTGGCCAGAGGGAACGCAAACAAGGGGCGGAGACAGCGAGGCCGCGAAGAAAGGCAAAGAGAGGGGCGGGGCTGGGAGGTGGAGCTGGGGCGGAAAGGGGCGGGGCGGAGAGGAGGGGCGGGGCGGAGAGGAGGGGCGGGGCGAGGCTGAGGGGCGGGGTCGAAGAGGAGGGCGGGCGGAGAGGAGGGGCGGGGCGGAGAGAAAAGGGCGGGACGGAGAGGAGGGGCGGGGCAGAGGGGAAGGGGCAGGGCGGAGAGGAGGGGCGGGCGGAGGGGCGGGGCGGGCGGAGGGGCGGGCGGGCGGAGGGGCGGGAGAGCTGGAGGCGAGAGAGGCGAGACTGGGGCCACGAGGTGATTAAGGACCCGGAGTTGGAAAGGGGCGGAGAGTAGCGGGGCGGGGCCAGGAGGCAGGGGAGCGAGGGAGTGGCGGGGGCGGGGCGTTGCGTTGAGGTTGTGGGGAGACCGAGAACGCGATGGCCGAGGAGAACCTAGGGCCGGGCCTCAGGGGGCTGCGGGCTGGGGGTCAGGAAGGAGAGAACTTGGCAAAGGAAGAGGTTTGCGGTGCTACTGGGGAAAACATTTAGAAACTCCAGGAGAAAGTGATTGGCCCGAGGCCTTCCCTGTTCCCACGGCTGAGAGATTTGAAAATTTGACCTTGATCTCTGTGACACTTTTTTAAATTACTCTGGTTATTCAGAGCTGAGGATGGAAGCATCGTCAGCTTTAAAAGCCCCGTGTATGCAATGAACTGTTAGATTTAGGAATTACATTCTATCTTTCACCCTGCCCCAAGTGTGGGGGTAGGGCTGAGCAGAAAATTTGAGGGGCATTAACTTTTACTGACTAAACCCATTAGATCTCTAACCCCATTAAAGAAAGTAATAGATGCCTCTGCGACAAAAATTTCGCAAACAGGACATTCTTCTGACGTGGAACATCAACAAAGTTAAAAGCAAGGGGATACTGCTGAGTCCCTGAGTAATGTGGAGTAGGTAGCAAAACAGAAGAGAGGGAATAACTCTTTGATCTGGAGATATCATAGAAAGCTTCAGAAAGATTCTCAAGTTCCTCTGTCCATAAAAAGAAAATGATGAGGCTATCTGCAAGCAAGTCACAGATAGAAGAGAACCTACAAATCTGAAGGGGCTTTGTGTACAGGGGTAAGGGGCAGGTGCCTATTTCTTACCCCAAAGATAGGTACCGTAAAGGTGTAACTACAACCAGAACTTAACTACAACCCGGGACAAGTGGAGAGGACCATAAATTTACTAGAATTTTCCACCTCATAAACTGGGAGTTAAAAATTTTTAAATCCAAGTGGAATAAAAATATATTGCTCTGTTACATTTCAACTCTTGAACTGGGATCTTATACCCTGAGGTGGTATGTATTTCCTGTGTCCCAGCACACATATGCACAGTCACAGAGAATAGCTTTAAAAGACTGGTCTGGGGCCTCCCTGGTGGCACAAGGGGTTAAGTCTCAGCACTAACACCAGGACAACCTGAGTTTGATCCCTAGTCAGGGAGCTGACCTACATGGCACAGCAGACCTCTCCTGCCTCAGCCAGCTGCATCCCTCAGCAGTGTATTCAGTAGACCTGCCTGTTCTGCTCCCCACTCTAGCTCTGTTGAATCTTCTTTCACACTCACACCCCCTACCCCCTGCACCTCTGGCCTGCACCCCAGTTCTTTTTTTTTTTAATAAATTTTATTTTTATATTCCTCATACAATTGCAACCCCCTTATTTTGACCCCAATCCCTCCCCTCCCTACCCCCTACCCCCCATAGAGTGTCTCTGGTTCATAGTTTTTTGTTGATTTTGATTTTCACTTTCTTATAGTTATTCATTTTCCTGGTCCCTTATTTAAGTTTTCTAGATTCCTGCTATGAGTGAGACCATCTGGTATTTTTCTTTTTCTTTTGCACCCCAGTTCTTGTCTGCATAAATAAATAAATCTAAAAAAAAAAAAAAAAAAAAAAAGACTGGTCTGGAGGAAATTTTTAGGAAGGCCTGGTCCAGGGTCTTGGTGGAGAGGTTATTCCAAAAGGGGCAGGAAGGGTTTGGGATGGGACATTATGTCCAATAAACAGAAGTGTGAAATCTCAAGATTTTTGTTTTATTTTGTTGGTGTTTTCTTGTGCTTTTATTAGGAGGGAAGGAGATTAAGAAGAAAGACAACAACACAGATTTTTAGATAATGAGACACATGGTAAACCAGACCTGGGTGTTCAGTCTTTATTTTGTGGGAGAAATGTGACTGGGCCTCCATTTCAGAAAGATTATCCAAGGTGGATGAGTTAAAGGTATTTAAAAGATTCAAAGCAGGGAGTCCATTTAAGAGGCTTTTGCAAACTAAATGATAGCTATGCTCATACAAAGGCAATGGCTGTTGAGGGAAGAGAGGATTACAAATATTTAAGAGATAGAATTGAAAGGGAATTAGTTACTAATAGATAAATCTGAAGAAGGAGAGAGGAACCGATAATTCTAAAATACTGATTTGTAAGACTCGGTGCCATTAATTAGATTAGGAATAACAAGAAACAGGAAAGTGAGTTTTAAAAGTAATGATTTATTTGTGAACTTGTGCATATTGTGCACGAGATGTCTGCAGGACATTCTGTGCACTGAGGTTTCTCAGTTTTTGCACTGTTGACGTTGGCCAGATAATTCTTTGCTGAGGCTATGTTCTATGCATGATAGAATGTTAAGCAGCATCCCTGACTTCTAGCCACTAGATGCCAGTAGCAGCCTCCCTCCAGACATTGCCAAATACTGCCCCTTGGAGGGGGAAAGACAAAATTGGCCCAAGTTGAGAACCACTGTTGTACACAGCTGTCTGAGTATGATGTCAAAGCAGAAGAGTTTCAGCAAGAGAGGGGTACGGTCTTCTGGCAGACAAGCAGACTAGTTATGTGAAGCATATAAATGATATAAAATCTAAGAACCAGACATTGGGTGCCTGCTAACAAGGGTAGCTTCTGTGTAATGGTAAGGGCAGAAGCCAGGAGAGAGATTGTGTATGTTCAAGAGTAGAGGGAAGTGGCATTGGGTGGAGACTGCTTTCAAGATGTTAGGCTGAGAGGGAAGGGTAGAGCTTGAGCATTTTCTGGAGTTTTGCAGAAATAATAGGGAATTATAAATGTGTTGATAGGCTAAGATGAAAAACCCAGCTGAGAAGACTTTCAGTTTATATTCAATTTTCTTCTATTCATTCATTCAATCATCAATTATTTAATATCCTCAGCTCTAGTTGCAGAGGATAAAGTGGTATCTCATCGTAATTTTAATCTGCATCTCCTTATTTGGAGTGACCATGAACATTTCTTCATTTGTCTTTTGAAGTCTTCTGGATGTCCTCTTTAGTGAATTGGCTGTTCATATCTGCTGCCCATTTGTTAATAGGGTTATCTGGTTTTTGTTGTTGTTAAATTGTATGAGTTTTAAAAAAATATATCTTGGATAGATATTAATTCCTTATCAGTTATATATTCTGTAAATATTTTTTCAGTAGGTTTTCTATGTATTTTCTTTCAGAAACTTTTTAACTTGAGGTAATTGCAGTTTATTTTTGCTTTTATTTCCCTTGCCATAGGGAGTGAGTTACCAAAAAAATCTTTATTGTTCATTTTGTGGAGTGTTTCACCAATGTTTGTTCTGTAAAATTTATTGTTGCAGGTCTTATATATAAATCTTTAATCCATTTGGGATTTATTTTTGTGTAGGGTTGTAGCAAGTAATCCAACTTCCTTCTTTTATGTGTGACTTTCTAATTTTCCAACACCATTATTAAAGAGATTGCCTTTTCCCATTTTTTATTTTAGATTAGGTGCTGGTATATGTACAGGTTTATTTCTGGACTTTTGATTCTGTTCATTGGTCCATATATTTAACTTTAGGCCAATATCATATTGTTTTTACAACTGTTGTTTCATAGTAAAGTTGGGAATCAGGTAATGTGATATCTCCATTTCTCTCTATTCTTTCTTAGAGTTGTTTTTGCAATTTGAGGTTTTATGATTCCATATAAATTTCAATATATTTTGTTTCATTTCTTTGAAAATTATTTTCTTTTTTTTAAGATCTATTTATTTATGTATACAAGAGCTAGGGTGCAGGCCAGAGATGCTTGGGGTGAGAGGACCCACCAGAAACAGAGTGGGGAACAGAATAGGCAGACTGACTGAAACACACTTCTGAGGGGAGCAGCGGGTGAGACAGGAACGGTCCACCTTGCCATGTGGGTTTCTCCCTGGCTGCCCGGGAATCGAACTCATGCTGCAGATGCTGTGGATTACTTCATAGTGTGGTGTTCAACCTCTTGAGCCACCAGGGAGGCCCCTAAAAATTATTTTCTTTGAAAAATATTTTGATGGGGTTTGTGTTAAATTTATACTTCATCTAAGGCAGAATAGTCATTTTAATTATATTAATCCTCTCCATCAAGGAGCAAAGGATGTTCTTCCATCTGCTTATGTCACTATCCAAGTCCTTTAATAATATCTTGCAGTTTTCATCATAAAGGTCTTTCACCTGTTTCGTTAGGCTGATTCTGAGGTATTTAATTCTTTTTGAAGCAATTATAAATGGAGCTATCTTCTTAATTTCTGTTGCTTCTCGCTTGTTGTTTGTATATTTAAAAAGCTATGGATTTTTGTGTGTTGATTTTGTAGCCTGCCACTTTTCTGTATTCACTTGTTGTTTTTAATAACTTTTAACAGTCTTTAGGATCTTGTATATTTAATATATAGTCTATGAATAGTGATAGTTTCACTTCTTATTTTCCTATTTGGATTCCCTTTATTTCCTGTGTTTGTCTGATAGCTCTGGACAAAAGCTCTAATACTAAGTTATACATTCAATAAAAGTAATGAAAGGGCGCATCCTTGTCTTATGCCAGATCTTATGGGAAAGCTTTCAGTTTTCACCACCGAGTATTATATTGGCTGTTAGTTTGTGATATATTTACTATATTGAGGTAGGTTCCTTCTACTCCCATCTTG